GCATAGCTTGCAATTGAGTGCAAATCAAAAGTAATATAGGCAGCTATACAAATTTTCAATACATTTTCCAAGGTATTCACAGAAGTCGCATTTGCTTTTCATACTTCTAAGAAAAGGCATTCAATGAGGGATCTGCGTGTCAAAAGTTTTATGCGACTGCCAAGGTCTGTGCTTAAGCTATCATAAAATAATCACAATGAAAAACCAAAACTTTCGCCATAGCCAGCAAAACTGTAATAAATCGAAAGCCAGCAGCACAAAACCGATGCCGGCAGCGGGGTAAGGTGGTCGAGGAAGGCTCAAGGATCTGGCATACATGCATAATGGAGGACAAAAAACTGAATCGAAGGATGTGGCTCTTACACAAAACTTTCTCTCGCTATTGTTCAAGTGCTCTAAAAGTTCAAACGCCAGCAGAGGCTGCGAATGGCACAAAGATTGGGCCAAAAGTGTAGCCGTACCAGGCAGAGATGGAGTCTAAGGAGTCTGCAGGTGATTAACAGAAATATGCCAAATGCCACACGACTACCTCAGAGGCAGCTGCCATTAATTACCACTGACCAGCAAGAGGGCCATATTGAAAATGGTTCAACGATGCTAATTAATTTTGTATAATTATCATTGCTCATTGCAAAAGTTTTCAAGGCCCGCAACTGCTCGACTAGTACGTATAACATTCACTGAAGTTGAATAATGAGCCGGGTAAAATTATATTTTCACGTGTACAACAACGTGCACAGTTTCAATTAGAGCATTGCGCAAAAATAAACAAACAAAAAAACAGCAAATACTAAAATTCAATGAAACGAACAACCACTGGGCAATATATTTCGCTTTTTGTTTTCTACACCGCAAATGCTGTCTACTTTTTCCGGCAGTTAAAAAATTTACCATATAATGAGCAAAAATTAAATTAAATATTGTTATATCTGAAAACACAAATTATCTTATAAAATGTATAGTATTCTTCAATGTTAGCTCTTGCTATTTCCTGGCAGATCTACATTTCTTCATAGTTCTTCTGTTTTAAATAAAAAGGTTATAGGAGCGAGATACACCATACTAACATATTTAAATTAATAATTTTACTGGCATCGATATATATTGATATTATATATGCATCATACATAGAGATTCGTTTTAGTCAAGAGCCGCATACTTGCAGCTTATCATGCCCTCAAGCAGCACAAAAAAAATAAAGTATATTCCGCTTGGCACTTACCCAGGGCTTCCTTTGGTTTCCAATGTCCAAATTGCGTTTTCAATTCAGCTATTTACTTTCTTAATGTTTTTATTTTCACTTGGCATTTGTTTTTGGTTTTTTGGTTTTATCGTTAAATAATTACTTTGCGTAGCCTTTGTTTTGTAAATTATTGTTACGTATATTGCTTCTGATTTGATTATAGCCTCTGAAACGGGTAACGCTCTGTGATGGGCTTCAGCTAGAACGACAGTGATTGAAGTCGAAGCGTTTGTAAAATCAATTTGGTTACACTTGGTTGTAAAAACAGCAGAAGTAATTTTCGCTGACACATGAGACGTATTCGTAATATTTAATAAGCAGTTCGCTCAAGATACCATGTATCACTCATACGTCACGTTGCCAATTTGTTTTGCTCGTCGACAGATGCCACACACACACACACACTAACTAGGGGCTGGATGGAGCACATCACGTGCACTTGACATTTAGTATGACAGACCCTCCACCCCATTTACTTCTGAACAATAAACAATGCTTAAATATAAGCAAAAAAAAAAGGCAATGGCAACACAACGAAGAATTTATAAAAATTCAAAACAGATAGCAATCAATGACGTATTAGAAATTGCTCGAGTTTGAGGTACCAGGCAAGTCCAAGCTGTCGCATAGTGGGCTTCAATTGGCGTTATTTAAACAAAAATAATATAATTTCGAGCAACGCTGCCTAGTAAGGTTACTTAAAGAAATAAAATAGAATTAAATGTCTTATAAAGATCCACTGATCTCTTTTTAAGTTATTCAAAAAAATACTAAACTTTATGCTGTTATACGGCACACGGTTCCAATCTAGTTTTGAAATAAGATTTGATTCGTGAACTTTGTTTGTCTATTCACTAAGTTCATTCGGCATCCAAACGTTTTCTGGTGACAAATATAGCCATGAGGGTTATATTATTTGATGAATTATACTTATTTCAGTTATTCCAAAGAAAATGTATTTTAAGTTTGCTAGCAATATACCAATGTAGTATATGTCACTGTGCGTGTTGTCGTTGCGTGCCTAAAATGTAATTTTCTTGTCCTTGGTGGCAATTGTCAAGTGCTCGTCAGGATGCTTCCCCTTGCCCACGCCACATTCTGTTCTTGATATCGTGCGAAAAGCGCAGTTGAGTTCGTATAGCTTGGCTCAAGTTCCGTTGCCAATCAATGGAAGTGAAGTGTCCAAAATGACATGCACAATAGTGACAATAGCGCGAATAAACGCACTTGCCAACTTCCTGTCCAGTCAGTTAACCCAATGACCGGTATGCATGACCCAGAATATGTCCTTCTGAGCTATGCTCTACTCTGCTATTCTATCAAGTCCTTTTCAGTCCAGTGCTTTGTCTTTTTATGTCCTTTGCATGGGAAACGGCTTTTGTCGTTTATTATAACTTGAACGCTTCGAATATAATGTTTCAATTGCCAAAATATAACTCCTTATGTTTAGTTGAGTAGTTGAGACAGTTCGAAAACCTTGTAGCCAGGACACGTCAGCTAGAAGTGGTCGTGTTTTTATATCCAGAGCCCATTGAAAATTGTCAGAAAGGGTATTATGTTCTTGTGCCAATGTATGTAACAGGCAGGCGACATCTCCTATAACACAAAATATATATTTCGATTCCTGATTAGGACAATGAAGTGAGTCAATCAGACAGGGCAAGCCCGTGTTTCTGGTTCTGGATCTTAGAAACAATACAAGCTATGAACTTTAAATTATCATTTTTTGCCGCAAACTCGGCTAGACTTTGGTTTTTAAGTATTATAAAAGCTAGATACACCCATACACATTTTTGGATACCTCAGCCCCATTCTCAGTAAACTTATTATAAACTCTCGTTCAATGGTAGATTCCTGCTTTTTGGTTCATACAGACATTTCGTAGTAATGGGATTATACACACGGATGGTCCTAATAATATTTATGGCATTGTGAGGAGCAATGTGAAGCACTGCCAGCGCATAAGCTACGCATCAAGCATGCTGATTACTTGTGCATGTATGTGTGTTTTTCTATTTGCGTTAAGGAAAACTAGAATTTTTGTTACGGTAGTTCGCACTGCTGTCAGGGTATTTCCTAGTCTGGCACTTCCGACTGGGCCCCTTTTACTTGTTTTTATTAGTTACGTGGCAAGGGTTAAAAACAGTTTGTTCTAAAATGAAAACATATTTTGCACCCGAAATATTGTCAAGTTATGTCAGAAATGAAAAATTATTGCATAAATTAATTACGAGTACAGTCCGCAGAACGTGCAGTCAGAGGCAGTCTGGCAGAATGTAGAGCCTATATCCTTGCCACGTCGACGACGACAGCGACAAATAACTGAGCACGTACCACAAGGCAGCAGAAGCAACGGTAGGCAGCAGAGGCAACGGTAGGCAGCAGCGGCAACGGTAGGCAGCGTATACAGCACACGCCGCGTATACGTAATATGACCTGATACTGCTTCGTATGGGTTTGATTGTGTGTGTGTGTAACAAAAAATATGAGAGCATACAATTAATAGGATAGGCACAAACAGGAAAGCTTGCCGTAAAGGTTTTTCTTAAATTGCTAGGACGTGGAATTTAATTTTCAAATCAGGTAACCGTGAGAAACAAGGCATCCTAAGTTACATGATAGCATTAAGAGTGAGTCGGGTAAACAGCTGTCGCTGGAAGGTGTTTCTCTGTTCCTTAAAAAATTCAAGGAACTTCAATGCTTACAACTGCTTTACTGGCCGACGCATTTGAATTGAATTGTGGCCAACAAGATTTGAAATTTAAAAATCAAATAAACTAAGAATAGGCAACGAGAACATTTTCGCTATTCAAATTTATTTTATATTTTATCAAATTGATAACATATTTGCAATAATTATTTGCTTTGATTCGATTCGGTTTAATTTCTGCTTTTCTTTTCACTTTTTATTTTTATTTTCTAGCATTTCGTTTTAAGTGGCGGCCCAACCTTTAGAGGTGGGCTGGCGATTGATTTAAAAATAGCGGCCGTTGCCAAGGACAAGTTATGGTTAACTTTGAAGCCGTACAAAGCTTTGCTGCAGGCCGTATGACCAAAGAGCCGATAAATAATAGCAAAGACAAAAACGTTTATTTTTGGCTTTTGTTTTTGTCTTATTATTTGGGTGGTTTTTTGTAATTGTTATTGTTTTTGCTATTGCACTTGCCAATTAAAATTCATTTGCCAAAATAAAATCAACGCCACTTTCACTAGCCAAGTTTCTTGGGTGCATCTTATTGTTGTTGTTGTTGTGTTTTTATATTTTTTGCTTTACACTTTTAGTCAATTTTTGTGCTAGATTGAATGAGGACTTCTCTCTTGTCTCACACATACACGTACACTCACACACATGCATGCACAGAACACAATCGAGTTTGTTTGTTGTTGTCCTCAACACGTTTCAATGCCTTTAAATAAAATGCAAGCGCCATATGTACCGTTAGCTGCGAGCGCTTCCATACAACTGAACTGAAACTGAAACGGAACTTTTGACGTCGCTGAGGCAATTGAAACGTCGGTTTCACCATGTGCTTCAAACATGTTGCAAGCGATTATTGTGTTGTGTTTTGGTTCGATGCGGTTATGCGGCGTATGCGTAATGCCACGCTGCAGTTCTTTCACATTAGCCACAATATATAGTATACAAAGCTGACTACGCAAGGCAGATGAGAAAAGTGTGAGATTTGTGCGTAATGTGTGAAATGTTTTAAGTGCTTTCAGATAAAAATGAAGAAAATGCGTCGTTTCCTGTACTTCTACTTATTAGAGTCCAAAATGTAATCAACGCACTTTCCTAGCCTAAAGTAATCACATATGATAGCTATAGTAAACGTTGTCGGAGATATTACCATATAATATATACTGACCAATAACCAAGTGTAAATTCATCCTGGATTTCTCTGTCTAAATTCAGTTTCCTTAAGTGAGTGATTATTTCTGGTTGAGACACAAAGTGCGTTTAATTATGACGTTCGAACCTTTTGTCTGGCCTAAACCAAGACATTAATTAAAGCAACCAGCTCCCATTGATGGTAAATTCAATTGATACTAGCAAACGGAATACGAGGAAAACTGGAGCAGGACATAAGCAAGCTCCTTATCCTTGCCAAGTCAGCGAGCAGCATTCTTGGCTGACACGTAAAATATGCCAGCTGATGGGAATTCTGTGGCATTGCTGGCATAGCTGGCAGCGTGTAAAATGAGCGATAAGCGAGCAAAGCGGCTGCCAACCCTCTTACCCGCTTTCCCACTCTCTGGGCGAAGTGCGCATCAGCAACGTCTGCAGTTTATGCGTTGTTGTAGTTAATAAAGCTCGAAGAGAAGACCACAAGGCACTGTCACAAGGCACAGCAGCCAGAAAAGGCGGAAAAGGCATCAGCCGACATCTCCCAAGCAGCGAACAATCAATTTCACGTCAATTGGTTCATATTTTATAGGCTGAGCAGAGTGGAACACAGCAGAGAGGCAAGGGCGAGTGCAGGAATTCGATGCTTGCGACTTAATGACCGCATTTGTGGCCACGCTTTAAGGTTATAGTTCAACCAGCGCTTAGCGGTAAGTCACAAAATACGAGTACAGTTAAGTTGTACGCAATGTCAATGCTCGACCCATAAAATTTTGTGCTTAACCAACAAGTGCGATATCACGAAATGACATCACCCATTGACCTGTATTATTAAAATAGAATACCTATTGCAAACTAAATGTAAAGCATGCTCTTGCTATGCTCAATATTTAATCAGCAACTATGGTGAATTATATTCTGAATGCCATACCCAATTTCAAAGATCTTTGTAGAAATTCCGCTAATCGTGCTTCGCAAAATACACTCCTCTTGGATAGAAAATGCGAGATAACAAATTATCAAATTCATTTGAGGCGAATTGCAAACTTTTTAGAAAATTGCAGCTTTCTGGCCTGAAATGAAGGTTAAAAGATACATGGGCTAAGTTTTAAGTTTTGTCCGATCTTTATCAAATAAATCACAATTAGGTTAACTGAATCATTTTATTAAAAAATCGCAAAAGCCTTTTAAATTCAATATGCCCTGCCAGCAGCTGTCATATTTTCATGACATGCCAAAACATTTTCTGGCCAGCGTTACATTTATGTAAAATTGAAACCGGATGGAGGGTTCAAGCTGAACCGAGGCGAGCCAATCACAACATAGAGTAAAGTCTGTATCATGGGCAGGCAGACTGCGTCATTGTAGTATTTGATTGATTGCCTTAAGGCCTATCATGGTGGTAGATGTGTAAAGTTAGCTACATGATGCCCTTTAAACAGCCATGGCGTATGCGTAATGTGATACACAACAAATATGCTGAACACGTGACTGGCATTGCTTTCCGGCAAGCATCTGACTATTCACAATTTCCTCTACGGACGGACTGCCACCCAATTAATTTGCATCCTTTTACAGCGAATCGCTTTCAGGTGCAACAAGGCGATGATTGTTTCATGTCCATACATATATATATACATTAGTTTACCTTTATTATACTCAATGCATACAAGGAAGTCGAAAAGACCCATTTCCAGCCGAGTTGATATGTGAACTGCAATTTTAGTATAAAAGATTTGCTTGCCGATTTTCGGATGGTAGAATTATTTCTTTCTGTCCAAAGCTAGAGATCTGCTTAAAAAAGGCGTCTGGAAAGTACATGTAAGCTTTGCGGCGCCAGTGCTTATTATGCTTTCATATCTTGCGCTATTTTAAGTGACCTTTCCACTGCAATTTTGTGCATTCTAAAGTGTGGCGTTTTTATCATTTTGTTGACGCCTTTGGCATTGTTTTTGGGGCTGCTGCTGCTAATGAGTGTCTTTGACTTAAGTGTGTGTGAAGGACAAAAGGGCTGCCTTTCGCGACATTGTGGAACCGTCCATTAGGCTAATGGCAAGTGACAACTTTTGCAAATTGGAATTACATGCACACTGCGGTATTTTGATATTAAACATGCCATTCCACTCTTACGACAGCTTGTACTTACTTTATACACCCAAACCGCAACCGCGAGGCTAGTCTAGGCAAGGCGCGCCTCAGCACACTATACAAATCGCTCAACACTTGGCAGCACTTAAACGCGGATAACCACATGATAAAATTAGACGATTAGCCACTGGCACGACCACAACATACCCCACACACACACACACGCACACATCTCACTACACAAACGCACACACATACTCAAAGGCAGACCGTGGCCAGACTAAATAAACAGCACAGCTGGCGAGCTATTAAAGTTTTAGCCTTCCCCTTGCTGACTTGAACCAGCCACAAGCCTTATCGGAACGAAGTGGCGAAATAACGTATAAAAAATTGCGCTGTTGCGTATTTTTCTGTGCGCTGTTCTTAAAAATATTTTCCGAATGAAAAATCGTTTGAAATTAGTTGAACAAAACATAACCAAAAACATAAAGATACATATATGCCGATAATTACTTGAGCATAAACAAACATTAAAGGCAAATATTGCGTTCTTTTTTTTGGCAAACAAAAATATAAAAAAAATGTATGCTTTCTTCAACTTTGATGAATAATTTTTTTGGTCCCCAAAATGTTTGATTAAATTTATTCAATTCTTTTCACTACGAATTCCATTAATTCATTAACTATTAAACACAGGCTTTCTTTAGAGAAATATACCCCTGAAACTGATCAAAATCGAGCAGGAATCACAGAATAAAAAATTGTTTCCAGATTGGGAAAGGAGAAAGAAGAGTGACGTAAGATGCACCTCTTTATTCAATCCTCGTGGCTTATATATAACACAGCTTGGCCTAGTTCGTGTAGAGTTTGGGGCTCGCGACCGATCGGATGGTAAAGAAAAACGTTTCATACAAACGTTTTTCGCGATTTTTTTACACATGCAGGCGGAATTTCACAAAACCCCATCTTAACGTGCACCTTCTTCACATAAGGTAATTGCAGTGAAAATTGCAGCTTCCTGTCTCTTACGGTTTGGGCTGTGCGTTAATTACCAATAAATCGGTCAGTTAGTCAGAAACAAACAGTTTCATATATTGAGAATAAAAATAAAAAGCTTTTATTATGGTTAGCTCAACAGTGAGAATGGGGTCCTTCTTTCGGCTAAATCCCTCATATTCGTTTAGCGTAAACAATACGTTCAGTTATAAATGGAAGTCTTCTTAAATTGAAATAATAAAGAATATTTCAAAAAAAATTTTAATTGGAAAATGCAAAATACATTTTTTTGAATAACTGTCAACACAGTCGGGTTTATAGTATGTTTTATAGCTGTGGCTTGGGAAACTCAAAACACATTGTTTTAGATTTATAATCCAACCACAAAGAAACTAGATAGACGTGCCTTTGTGCAATGGACGCGATACAATTATTGCGTTTTATGAGCATTAAATTCGGAAATTGAAAATTCGTGCGAGCAATTTAAAGGGTGAGTGGCCAGAGAGTGGGGTATAGAAGGGGACCATTGTGTAAATATTCCCACACTGAGCCGGCGCAATTCGAGGCAAATGTTAATTGTTTACTTTGGCACGTTGCTTGTGATGTGCAGCATTTGTCGAGAAGCGAAATTAGTTCGGTTTTAATGCAAGAGCTGTAATAAAAAAACAAATACCAAAAGCTTGATATTGAACAGATATACGGATACATGGAGAAAGGCAACCAGACAGAGCGATAAGGGAAAATGAGGAAACTGAAATGCTTATAAATTATAATGCAAATAACACGACAAGTTGAAATTGCTTATCTCTCCAACAGCCAGTAGAGGGGGGGAGAAGCTAACCGTGAAGGCGCACAGATGCGCTCTAACTCTGGCTCGGAACTGGCTTTAGCTGCTATTTGATAAATTTAAAAACTGTCAGCTGTCTGATAAAATGTTATTTTTGGGCTGTTTTGTTGCCAAGTTCATGTCCTCGGACACGCCACGCCACGTAATTTGCCCTTAGCGCGGCACATCAACAAAAATTAAATTATATTTTGCACACAGTTGTGATTTTCATTAATTTAGTGTAAATAAAACACATACAAAAGTCTATGTATACAAAAAGTTCCAAATTCCAAATCAAATAACTTTTTCCCAAAACTTTTAAGCCGGAAACCACAAAAAAAAATCGATTCAGCAAAAAGTTGGCACAAAAACCTTTATGGCGGCTGCTGCTGCTGCTGAGCTCAGTCTATTTACCATCTATCCTATATCTTAAGATAAAGACATACATGGACCGATGGATGGACCGATCACCTATGTATTAGACTATAATAAACATTAGATTTTAGTTCTTGTAATCTTTTATGAATGTTCTGGAAAATCTAGACGGAAGTTTGGAGAAATTGTGAATAACCTTTGTATTCAACCTTTCTGTCTAATGACTGATAATCCAAACTCATTTGTATATCACATTTGTTGCAATATCCAACAAGCTTCAATATTCGCACCACAACAGTAATACTATTCGATGCAATTTAAACTGGTTCGTAAATAACTATGTTAAAAATACGAGTAAACCCAGCTAGAAATAATATTTTTTAGGATTATAGAGTATGTTAGGGGTTTCTTAACTTGTCTGTTTAAGTTTTGTAATAGCCTGCCATTTTCGTCATTACATAGACGGAGCGTGAGATGCTGGCTATGAACTTTTGTCGTACATTTTGACTGATGGCTAACAGCAAAACTGTCAATATTCTACAAGCAGTGTTTAAGAAGATAAAAGGAGAGAATTCAGCTGCTGACAACGTTCGACTACAGGCCGCCATAGCAAAGTAAGCGTAAAATGTGCTTCCAACAATTGGCTTTCACTTGCTAGAATTGTCGCCGGGCCGGAAGAAGCCCCTTATATATTTTCTGCTACGCTTTTCTACAATATTTGCAGGCTTGTTACCCATTTAGACAAAAAAACCTAGGCCGTAAACGAAGGAAACTGAACAAACCAGAAATTGAGAACAAAGATCAACGAAGAGAGTACAACGTTGTCCACGAGGACAAAGTGTTGTGTGACGTTCAACGCTGCGTATAATTAGTAATTTCCAAAAGCCAAAGCAATTTCAAATTATATTAAACATTTAATGGTCAACTCTTTTGAACTCATTTGAAATGAACGCTAGCTCACATTGTATGGCAGCCATAATGGCGATAAGTCTATGCATTATTCAGTGTACTGAACTTGAACTGATGGTGCGGACAGCTGTCGACTTATTAATAAGCTTTGAATATGAATTGGCGATGGTTCCCATTGCAGATGAAGAAGAAAGGAAGGAGTGCATGGTACAGTAAGCTCTATTTAGGTTGAACTTTAGCCGGTCATTTTGTAAATTTAATAAACTAACCACGGACTCCTATTTGCAGCTGGTTAAGGGTTAAGGGTCTCGAATCGTTATTTATTCATACTTCATATTTTTAAAGATTAAACAAAGAGAGATTGCAGGTTTGTTGAATTATTAAAATCAACAAGAGTGGAAGTGTCGGGAAAAGTCGCATCCCATATCGTGTCTGATGCGCTTAGAGCCCAGAATATTTGCCGAGGGACACCAGCAACAACGTTAAATATGATGCCATAAACATGTCTACCAATTATAATAACATGTTTCATAAGAAATATGTCGCGTAATTGTTGAATTTAATTATGTAAAGCTTACCAAATGATATTTGATTTTAAAATCCACAATATATAATCGAAATAAAATATATTATGGACAACAATCCGAATGCATTCTATGCCATCGCTTAAATGGCCTTTTGGGGTGACGAAGAGGTGTCACATTTGGGGGTCGATTGTGCATATTGGCTTGGCATAAATTAGCACTTAATGACAGCCATTAGGGGTATTTATAAAATGTGCACTGAAAGCATTTAAATATCGCTTAGTGGTAAGTTTATAAAAGCTGCACCGCAGGCATACGTCCAGCTAAACGTATCGCATAATGCTCATCGACAGTACACGCGCCTATCGTCCAATATGGTTTTGTTTTCGAGTGCTGGCACCGACATTCTTCGGTGCCAGGTCTCGTACGGTTTACGTCTATTTGGTGTTGATACATTTGCTAATTACATTAATGTTCCCATTGCATTTATTACTGGGCCTGCTGCTGCCGGCCACGCCAGCCGAGCTCTTCAAGAATCTAACAATGTCCATCATCTGTGTAGGGTGCAGCTTGAAGCATATCATGCAAATATGTCAGCTGCCAAACATGATGGAGATTAAAGCACTGCTTCTTCAACTGGATAACTGTGTCCAGATGGGTGAGGAGCATCACTTCTACCAAAATACGTTGCAGAGCCAAGTGCACCGTATAACCCGCTGTATTTATATAAGCTATGCCATTGTCTACGTGCTCTTCGTGCCTGGCGTAATTCTTGCACTGTCGGCTGAGCCTCGTGAGCTACTTTACGTGTCTTGGCTGCCCTTCAACTGGCGGCGCAATGGCCTGTCCTATGGCTTAGCGTTTGGCTACCAGTTTCTTTGCGTTCTGGCCGAATGCATGCAGGGCTTGACAAATGATATTTTTACGCCCCTAACATTGTGCTATGTGAGCGGTCATATACATCTCTTTGCCATACGTATGTCGCATCTGGGATTTCACCAGATCCCCGAAATTCCGACTTATCAACAATTACGTTCCTGTTTCGATGACTACAGGCTACTTATACGGTAAGATCTAGCAATTTATATACGAGTATTATTTTTACATAAACAAATAAATAAAAAGGCTTCAGTGTGAAAGGGTTAAATATAAATAACAGAAATAATAAGAAAATGGCTATCTTAAACACTCCTATGATTAAATATTCGATTGTTTTTAAAATCACCCAAAAACCTTTTATTTTCAGAATATACCAGCTAACTAAAGATACCATCAGCCCCGTACAGCTAATACAAGTGGTCTTCTGTGGTGCGAATCTATGCATTGTCGTATTCTATGTGATATTCTTTGTGCGGGACACAGCCTCGCTTATGTACAATGCGGTTTTTTTTACCGTCATCTGCTTACAACTTTTTCCCAGCTGCTACTTTGCCAGCGTTGTCGCTGAGGAGGCGCAACGATTGCCATATGCCATATTTTCAAGCAACTGGTACGAACAATCGCATCAGCATCGACGCAACATACTCATCTTTATCCAAATGACGTTAAGGCTGGCAAAGCAGCCTATGATGGCGGGTGGACTGATTGAACTCAATTTGAATACGTTTTTTTCCACGTTAAAAATGGCCTATTCGCTATTCGCGGTGGTAGCGCGAGTAAAGATTAATTAATCTCAGATGAAGCCACCTCATTTATATACCCTGAACCCATTGAAAATGCTTAACAGAGTCTAATAGTTTTGTGTAAGTGTATGCAACACGGCAGATTCCTTCTGCAGACCCCATAAAGTATATATAATAGTGGTCAGTATCAATAGCCGAGTCGATACTGCCATGTCCGCCTGTCTGTCCGTATGTATAAACGCGTAGATCTCTGAAGCAACAAGGCTTCGAATTTGGAAAGTAGGTCCTCCTAGTGCTCGCACAGTAAGAGTTTTTTTTTCGATAATAGATAACTTACGCATTTTTCAAACAAGAGTCAAATGGAAATCAAAGATCCTTTATTTAATGGCTTTCACAAAGATCGGTTTCGAAACACAGAAATTATATAAGAAATCACGAAGCGCTTGTGAGCTTGGGAAAGAATAATAGAAATTGAATTGTTATTAGGATTTTATTAAGTGCGTTTCTGCATATGTGCTGCTATAGTAGTTCAGTTTTTGAAGTTGGTTGCACGTTTAGCACCAGCGTGTGAAGTTGTTTTTTTTTATTATTATTTTATTAATGTGCGAAGAAGCTTCAGGGTATCCCCAAGTCGTAGATTTTCGACTAGAGCAGTTTTACTTGTTGTTTCTGTTATTGATTCCCGCAACTGCTTGCAATAAATATTTTCACAATTTTATATTCATATTTTCCACTCAATTCTCACACAAAAAATGAAGCAATCAACGCCGCACAGTGCGCTGTAACAAATGAAATTCATTAATTGCCCCTTCCCAATACGCAAATAAACAGTTGCTTTGGTTTCATTTGTTTTGTTTCATTTCGCTCTGCTTCGTTATAACAATTTACAACTGAACATTAAAGCGAATGAAATGTTTACGTATATACATTTGTATACCCTGCACATTGGTTAAAAAATATTGTTTTCTACATAAAAAATATACATAAATGAATAGTCAGCTATAGTAGTCGAGGCGATCTTATGTAAGAAAGATTAGAGAATACACCCATATGTTTTCAAGAACGAGTTTCCCATAACGTGGGGCTATGGAAAGGGAGGGAGCGAGGGAGGGGCTGCGTAAAGTGCGCAGTAAGCGGCGTGCGTGATATTGTGTGCTCATATGCGCTTTCACATAAGAATGCATAGAAAGCAGTTAATTCGTTTGTACCGCCAGCTGGACGCCCAGTTCAAAGTAATTTCTATTGAGGCTAGGAACGTATTTCTTGCGGAATACTTACATACACACGTATATACATACATACATACATACATACATACATACATACATACATACATACATACATACATACATACATACTAACATACATACATACATACATACATACACACACACATACATACATACATACATACATACATACATACATACATACATACATACATACATACATACATACATACATACATACATACATACATACATACATACATACATACATACATACATACATACATACATACATACATACATACATACATACATACATACATACATACATACATACATACATACATACATACATACATACATACATACATACATACATACATACATACATACATACATACATACATACATACATACATACATACATACATACATACATACATACATACATACATACATACATACATACATACATACATACATAAATACATACATACATACATACATACATACATACATACATACATACATACATACATACATACATACATACATACATACATACATACATACATACATACATACATACCTACATACCTACATACCTACATACCTACATACCTACATACCTACATACCTACATACCTACCTACATACCTACATACCTACATACCTACATACCTACATACCTACATACCCATATACCTACATACCCACGCCTCCTGCTCCGCCCTCTTGGTGCTCCTCCTCCGCAATGCTCCTCCGGGTCCTCAGCTTGCCGCGTTGAAGCCGCCTGCGCCTAGTCCATAGGTGAATTCTGCTGGCCTTACTTACACTTTTGAGAATCGAGGAGGAGGGCACCTTTTATTTAATACGTGTTCTTATTTATATTTGCCGCGCAACAATGCAAATTGGTCAGCTATTGGTATTTTATAAGACAATTTACATACATACATACATGCATACATACACGCACACATATACACACCCATTCACACACACATACATACATATATACACACATACACACGCGCTTAACACTATTCTTCCTCAAAATTCATGTGAAAAGCTACCAAAAATTTCCCAGACCCATAAATTGGTCAAATAACATCAGAATTGCACGCGGCTTGGTTCTTTGCTCATAATTTGACCCCTAGATCTAAAACGAAAGCAGTTTCAATTTGTTTGGGTTTTACCAATGAATTGCATGCTTTTATGCCACAAACTCCAGGAAGTACAGCAATATAAATTGTGTTCTGGACGAAAGTTTTTTTATTAAAATGCATTAATATTCTGGTGCTATCTGGTTACAAAGGCTGTCCGTTAAAATTGCAATATCAATTGCCTTTCCAGCGTACATTTTATGTGTATAAGTCATTTAGAGGAAGTTTGGAAGTTATAGGCAGGGATGCTGATAATATGTGGCAAAACCCATTGGATGGCGATCGAATCGGCATCCGAATCACCGAAGATAAGTATAATTTTAAATGCACTTTTCAGAATCCTTAAAGTTCTGATATTTTAGTGGCAATTGTGAATCCCATTTAGATGGCAAATGGAAAAGCGAAGAAAACCAAACAGCAGAAATACACAAATTGAAATTGTGACGAGTTTTGAATCTAACCAAAGAACACAGCTCAGCAACTGGCTTTGGTAGCATTAAACGCGAATATTGCGTATACGCCGCGTGGTGAGGTGGGAGTGCGCAATACACAATGCTGCCAAGCTCAACATAGGCGCGACCGCGCTCGAGGTGATTTAACTTTTTTGCTTGCCATTCATTTATTTCCTTTTTAATAGCAGAAAGCACACAGAAGGCAAAAATATTGTTGGCATACTGTTGCAAGTGCTTCCTGACGCATGCCCTGGCACTGTGTGTGGGTATATTGTTTGTTTTAACTTTTGGCATTTTGTACGCGAACCGAGGGTGTTTCACAGCAAAATAGAAAACTAAAACAAAAACGTCAAAGCACACAGAAGAATGAAAAATAAATTGAAACAGTCAACCGGGCCAAACTTACCTATTCCAACTATCTCTATCTCTATCTCTGTTTGTGTCCGTCGAAAATCAACGCAGCCCAACTCAATCTGTGCATCAAGATTTCGTGACACCAGTGACCCACCGACACTAACAACATCAGCAGCAAAACAGTTGCCAGCTAGCCATAGATTAAATTGCTTTCAGTTTGGTTTAAAATTGTTTGCGAAATTGTAAAACGTTCTTGACCCAAGGGGCCAACTGGGCAAGCACACACAATCCTGATCATAATCTTGGCATCTCGACTGCATATCTATCTTTGCCGTATTTTACTTCTGTAAACAGTTTATAAGTTTATTTATACGCGTCAAATTGGCACATTTGTACATCGGTACAGGGTTCGGAATAGTTATTATCTATGGACAGATTAAGAGCAAAATGAGAAAAAAAAAGTTTGAAATTTGATGGATGTGTTGATGATTGGCATGATATAACTGCCGAGAAGCATTAGATATGTATAAAAAAAAAATTCTTGGGGAATATATTTGTTTTAATATGTTGGGCTCGAGTTCCACTCGAAGTTTTTATATTAATACTTATATACTCATCTCTATATACAAAACTGCTGTGAAATGAACTTTAAAAGTTAACTTTTTAATTATAATAAATTATTAAGGAAACAATTTGAACTGCACGCAATTAAGCAGAAATATTTATATTGTTCATGTGTCCGGCGCTTATCAAAACGATACAAACAAATTTTAATGTTGCACACATTAACAGGTAATTGTAATTTATTATTTAATGAACATTAATCCTGCAAGCCTAATTGAACAACTATACTGAATTGCTGCAAATTAGCTAATTGTATTATGGATGTTAATAGCTTTAAGCTACGTAGTATGATTGCTTTGAAATTCATTGCAGGTTGTTTCTATCATTCAGAACACAATTACTTTGCGCTGAGAACTCAATTTTGCACAGCGCGAAAAACAAGATGAAAAGCGCGCATCAAGCAAAACATGCAGACTGAAGGTGGAGCATAGTGTCCAGGAATGGCAACACATGCTGCTGGTTCTCTCCTACCCCTGGTTATGCATAGACCACGTTTGGTCATGCCGCTGGTGCCTAAAACTATGCACCAGATAGAATAACAAGCACGCAGCCCCTCAATGGCACACAATGCCTCTTCTTGTATTTCAGTCATGCATAAAATTTTTTACTTTCCAGCCAGTTAGCCACTTGCTTGTTTCCCCCATTTTTTCATTTGTTGTTTTTGCAGCCTGTAACCAATCAAAATGAGAATAACGGGTATATTGGTTGCGTGCAAATGTACGTAACAGACAAATAGAGACTTTCGACTAGATTTTCTGTCTCTGCCTATCTAAAGGCGTTTTAATTTCAAAAATATGGGAGAAAGAAGTTGCAATGTAGCTCAAGTCATACATATGCACACATTTAAATTCATTCAGGTCGGATCATAAATACCGAGTAGGGCAGCCACTAAAAGGAAGTTTAAATGGTTGTGACAGCATCTAGGTACTTTGTGCAGGGTATACCTTAGTCTGACACTCTTGACTTTAACACACTTGTTTTTCATTATTTTTTTTTCGTGGTGTTTCCTTTATGTTTTTTCAACGCTCCCGTTTTATTTTCTACGCACTGCAAGTACAAATGTTGACATTGTTGCTGCTGTGTCTGTGTAGCTGATGTTACAGCTGACAAAGCTTTCAGGCACACAATGTCGCATCTAAATCATGTTGACTGCGCACTGCCCATGAGAAGATTGTGGACTATAGGTAGCACAGTACAGTAGAGAGTACGTCGCCTATAATCCAGAAGGAGTGTCTAGATATGGCGCAGATAATGAAGATTTCTGGTTCATAATACTTTTCAGAGAGCATTATCTTTTATCAAAGTAAATATATTTACTTTTATCAGCTTCAACAGCCTGTTACTCAGCTTTAAAGATGTCGTCAGGCTCCATTTTTTTATAGCAAAAAATTAAAATTATGTAAACTTTTAAGCAACCCTTTTTGCTACCGAATTTACATTTAAACATATAGCTCAACTTCAGCGACAGCTCTTTTAAGTTGCACGTCCCTTAGCAAACTGTTTAGTTCATTGTATTGATGGCTTTCTGCTTCGTTGCAGTTGCATTAAAGAGCAATGCACAAAATTGTTACCAGCTCTTGGCTTTGGGCCTATCAAATTACATTTTGTGTGTCATCCGGAGAGTCATGTGTCTTTTTGTCCCACTGCGTCGTTGGCCCATTTACAAACTTTTTAATTCGTTTGGGCAACAAGCAAGCAGTTACTTTCGCCCCGCAACCCTGGGAGGCAATTTCCAATATCTGTGCGCATTTTGTTTCCATTTTGATAAGCTGCTTGGCCCGATTCTGTGGACGATTGGGTGACAATTTCGTCCACTGCCGCCCAGCTGGCCCAAAAGTGAATGCTGTGCTGCAGCTTTGTAATTCAGGCAGGCGTATCACCGACTAGGAAGGTCATTTGTAACTTTAACTAAACAAATTTGAAAGCCTCTACGCATATCAAATGTGGGCTGGTTCTTGCGAGAGCCCTTTGGGCCAGCTTCTTCTACAGCTACGTATGTATAAAATGGCCAACTGCTGCCAGGTAAGGCATCAGTAGCACAACGTGCCACAACAAGGAACGTGGTAGCAGCTTTACAAATTACAAGCAAGCAGATAACTAGTCGAATACTTCACGTCACCAATCATGAAACGGGTAAGTTTGCAGCGTGCCTGACCATAAATTTCAGGGCAAACGATTGCCTACGGTGCCATGTGAAGCGCATCTCAGCAGAGACAGGCAACAAATCAGGATAATCAAAAGTAAAAAACGATAAGACTCCAAAAAGAAACTTCAACAGTTTGTATGGAAAGGCATAACAAGTTTGTGGCTGTAACAACGAATTATGATGCACTTACCAACGTAAAGGTGCGAAATGTTAAAGCCCAAATATAATTGAATGCAAAATTACACTATCATACATATCATACACACAGTTGAATAATGAACTTCTTCTTCTTAGATAACATTTTTGTGTTTTCACAAGTTGGGGCTATAATTTTGGAGTCTTCAACCCTCAAAATGCTTAAAGTCTTATCAACTTGTAACTTCCGTGAAAGTTAATATATCCTTTTTTACATGCCATTTCAAGCAACCCCCTGTCAATTAATTTTAATGAGAGTAGATTTCTTGAGAGTTAGGTTTCCTGAAGAACAGTTATTCATGTATGGAGACTATGTAAAAAAAAAAGAGCAAACAGCAAGTATCTAACGCCAACGTCCATTGGATATTTTAATTTATGTGCTTGCCAGATTTCAGACTTTAAACGAAAGCAACAAATACCCAACTTATTTATATTGCTGTGCCTTGCCTTACAGACCTGCCTGTTGATCTGCGTGTGCCTTCTGACCTGGAATGTGGCCAGTGCGTCCTATCTGCGACCCATCGAACTCAACCAATTGAGCAAGTCAAGCAGTCTCCAACAACAACAACTACAACAGCAGCAGCAGCTGCGTGACTTGAACAATGATGACTCCAATTTGGATGAAGCCACGACCATTTTGCCTAGCTCCAGCGAGGATTACGACAGCCGACCACAGTACACATTTGCATACGATGTGCGCGATACGCTGACCGGGGACGAGAAACGACAGGAGGAGAAGCGCGATGGCGATTTAGTTAAGGGACAATATTCGCTCGTCGAGCCGGACGGCACGCGACGCATTGTGGACTACACGGCGGATGATGCAAGCGGCTTCAATGCAATCGTATCAAAGCAGCGTCTGGATGAACGTCTCAGCACATCAGGGGCATCCTCCTCCTCAACATCCTCTCGTTACAATAGCATTGAGGAGCTGCAGTCTCGCCTCACAGCCCACGCCATTGCCGAGGCCCAGGCCATAGCCGATGCCCAACACCAGTCGCAATTGCAGCTGGAAGCACAGGCGCGCCGTGAATCCGAAAACCAAGCGCGCCTGCAATCTCAACAGCTGATGGAACAGTTCCAGCAGCAAGTGCAGCAAACGGCCCAGCTGCGCCAGCAGCAGGAGCAACAGCGTCAGCAACAAGAGCAACAGCTACGCGAATTGCAGCGCCAGCAAGAGCAGCGCGATCGTGAACAACGCGAACGTGACCAGGAGCGTCGTCAGCTGCGCGAGCGGGAACAAGAACGGCGTCTTAGCCAGAGCCAAAACCAAAATCAGCGTCTTCTCGAGCGTCTCAGCAATCAGCAGCAATCGTTGCTGTTGCCCAGCTCCAATCAGCTGCTTGGACAAAGTGTTCAGGCCAACGTTGTTTCCCATCCGCCCACTCTGATATCTCGCCTGCCTTCGGTATCAACAAGTAACCTTCTGCTGTCTGGGGAACGTGATCTGGATGGCTGGCGCCAATTGCCCACCGCCCGTCTTAACATCGAGCGCACCGGCCAGTCCGTCATCTTGGCACATCCGTCCAGTGCTTCGGTGCAGGCACAGCTCATCGGCTCGCCGCTGTTATTGAATTCAGCCAACCTGAATGGATTGATCACGACGCGCCTCAATGGCAACGCAGCACGCGCCGGCGCCTCCATCAGCTGGACCCAGGGAGGTCGTTTGCTGGACAACGAGCTGTGGCAACTCGACCGTCTCGAGGAACATGACAGCCGTCGCGAAGACAATCGTCGGGCAGAGGAGCAGCGTCTTGAGAGCGAGGAGCTACGCTCAATCAGCTCTAGCTCGGAGCGTAGCGGCAACCGACGAGCTCAATGGTAAACGTATGACCAACACAGTCCAAAGTCCAAGCTTCAACTGAACTCAATTCTTGACCGACCTCAATCATTTGCAATGGAACACTGATTATGTCTAGAACTTAAGCACACAATTTCTACTCTAAGCGAACTTTTGTGTTATGTTAGTCTTATGTGGGATACGGGTACTTTTTCTATTTGCTTGCTTTCCTAAAAACAAAACTTCGCCAGAAACTAACCCAATCAAGCTCAAGCTGCAACCTGTCTCTGCCTAACTCTAGCCCTAAGCTTAAATGTTTTTGTGTAACTTTTGTAGTTAGACCAACTGCGTTATTAAACTTACAACAAAAAAAAAAGTGTAAAGCTAATAAAGAAAACCAACGCAACGCGTATGGATTGTGAAAAACGAACAGTTTCGACATTATTAAATTCAGAGTGCAGCAACAGGTTTTGCTGGCCAATTGACCCTAGTCTCCTTTCAAGGACCTTAACACTTGGCTATGCCCACCCTCCCTCGCACACGTATGTACGCAACTGAGCCATAAACCTTGGACCAACTTTCTTTGGGGCAGCAAGTGGCAACAAATTTTTTTAATAATAACATAGCATCCGGGCAAGTGGTAGCAAAGTTGATCCATTCCGCCCATGAAGTTTACGCTGGACACTTAAAAACCAAGTTCCACCTGCTCGGCTGTGGGGCGGAGAAATTGAAGCTGTTAACAGCATCGCCATAAAAAAGCTGTAAACGTAACAAGAGGGAAGCTTCAGGACAGGCCATACCACACATAGAATACTTCTATGGTAATTTAAGGTATGCATTTAAAACTAAGCAATTAATAAACGTGATATCATCAACAATGAATTGGCTTGTCCCTGTTAAATGTGGGCATTTGAAATGAATTAATGAAACTCCGAAACAAGATTTGTTTGCCTTTTACCAATTCTAATTAATATTTGAGTTGAAGCCAATAAAATTGGTGGTTCCCCCTTGGTTTATTGTCACTCGTCATAAAAATAGAATGCTGCACAACAATGAAATGGCACCAAGAAAATTAATTGATTCATAAGAAATCATTTTTTGAACTTGATCCGTTTAGAAGGTTCAATATTAATAAATCACAGGCTGAAGAAGCTTATAAAAATAAAAATAGTACTTTTGCTCAACTAGTTAGCCTCTATTGAAAGCCCAACGATATTTTCGAAAGTGTAAATGTTTGCAATGGAATTTAAAGGTCATATTTATAATATATTTAGCCGATTCTTCCCACAGCGTTCTATATTATATATATTTGTCCGATCATTAATTTTTAACCACGTTTACGCAATGCAAAGGCTCTGTCATATTTCAAACTAACTTAACTTATAGAAAACTTGTCGAGCAGCCCCTTTTTAACTGTAGTTAATCAGGTTGGGGCTACAATAGAGCGCAAAGCTTGTGTGTCTGCATAAAAGCTGCAATGCAACATTTAATAAAAATTCAGTTCAACTATTTTAAAAGTAGCTTAAGGCCAGCCGCTCTTTGGCTTCGAGTTAAGGCAGGAGTGGCTCAGAGCTGACATGCAGGCTGCCAGATGTCGACCCAAAGACGTGGGTCCCCTTGAAAAAAGGAATCACTTAAAAATTTATCAGAACTGCAGCTGCCTGGCGGCAGCTCCCTTGGGCGCTGCCAGTTGACAATTGGCTGACGGCTCATAGAAAACTCAACAAAACAGCATGTGTCACTGTGAAATCCACGACAAAAACGCACATGCACTCATATCACAGACAGAGCGCACAGGACTCAACGGATTGTAGTAGCAAAGCCAACTGTTAAGACTTCTCTTGACTGTGTCACTTTCCGTAGTTGACCTTCTCGTGTTGTTTAAGCCAAGTGCTTAGCTGCCAATAGCCCCAACCTGCGGCCAGGTACCGGAAGCTCAACATAAAAAGACGGATAAGGCAAACAGCTGTGTTAAAGTGGAAATGGCGCACACAACAGTGAGTATAAAGGATATTGATAGATATAGGAGAATATATCTCGAATCTAAAAATAAGACGTAGAAAAACATATAAAGAAAATGTACTATGTCTCAAACTGAACCGAAAGGTACCTTCTATGCTCTTAAACTATATTTACATATTATGTTTTTTTTTAAGGAACGAGCCATTGCATGCGATATGTATATCCCAGGAAGCATCAATAGCCAGCGAACTAGTCTCTCAGCTTGTCGGCTATCCTCTTAAAACTAAGAGTCTTGTAACTGGGTGTATATACTTGTGTATAACCGCGGAAGTATACATATATATATATAAATAAACATTATGGGAAAATTAGGCGTACGATTATTTGGCAGTCGGTTGCACCCGACTTTAGCCTGGGGCGACTAATGATAGAAACCGCGTATTATACTTCTTTATTTTACCGGTGCTATCGGGAAAGCTTTTAGTTACTGTGGAAAGTATAGCCTTTGTGAATCTTAAGTTAAGTAAGCTTTCCTTGTCAATGTAAAAAGTATATATGAGCCTATAGCCTGGAGTCAGCAGTCACACAGGTCAAGGTTCGAGGGCAGGGCAATTTTCAAATCACAACCTGTCCGAATAATTGGGATACAAGTTTTAAACTTCAGACAGCGTCATCTAGCGCACTTCACTAGCAAGGCCAACCGATAGTTTTATTGCGTTCGTTCGTTTACTATTTGTTATAAGCCATCTGTTGTTGGTGACCTAACATTATGAAAAATTATTTTTAATTGATATAGTGGGAGTTTAGCAAATTGGTATCCCTGATCTCTCGCACTCGCATTCACGCTTTCTGGTGCTTCGTATATATTTAATTTTGGTATAGTAAAGAAATATAAAAAACATTCAGAAACTCTTTTGATCTCAACAGTGCCATTCATAAGAGCGCCTTTTACCGATAACAGATTCTGTTTGCGACCCGCTCCCAATACACACACCATTCGGCGTTTTACCAGAGTTGTAAGCTTGTTAACAGTTGGCCAAGAGTGAGAGAGAGATTATTTACGGGTTATTCAGCGAGCACACACACCTTCGTCAAATCCCATCTATCGGTGCCACGCATGTCCATTCATTGGCACGGCGGGTTCTCTCGTGTGTTGAATGTTTTTCAAGAAGCGTTACCTTTGGATCCCCTACATAAATCAAAGGTGACTTTGCCATATCTTTCGATACTTTTCTTAACTAATTTAGATTGGGGAAAATACTACATATTTTCCTATATGACAAGATGTTACGGTTAATTCGACCAACTCTCTTGCTACGCTTTCGGAGCGACATGTCCTCGAAGGACAAATCGAAGAAAAGCTCAAAATCAAGCAGCAAGCCCTCAAATACGCCGCGTCCGCCCAAGGATCCGCCCGATGAGGGCTATGCGCCTGAAAGTGTGAATCATGAAGACATGGAAGTGTCCGATTTTGTTAATCCAGAAGCCTTTCGGCAATTCAGCAGTCCGGAAGAACGCCTTGGTCCTGGAGCTGGCAAGAACAAGGAATACAAGAATGCCCATTACTTTGGCTATCATCGCTTCAGCTTTGTGGTGTTGCAGAATCAGTCGCTAGAGGTGCGAGATGAGCGTCGCATCGGTGGCGGCGTTCAGGTGATAACGGAGGCCGATGAACAAGAAGACAGCTCTGATGACAGCTTGGAGTCAATAAAACAGCAGGAAGCTGAGTGCGACGAACAACTCGCTGCTCAGGCAAAGGATATTGAGAATGAGAAGCTAAAGGCCTGGTGTGATTCCATAGAGAAGAAGCAGAGGGAGTTGGCCGAGTTACAGATGTCCAACCAGTCGGACGAGAACAAGGATCAGGTTAAGACATCGAATGAAAAACAGAAAGAAGAAGATCAAATTAAAACGACAATTGACAAAAAAATAGCCGAAATCTTAACCGAATGCGAAGGTAAACTAGGCAAAGATAAAGCTGAGCCAACGGGCCAACAAAACAAGGCATCAATCGACTGTAAGGAACTGATCAAAGCAGCAGCGGATAAAGCTGCGCTTCCAGCGAAAGGGAAAGGGCAAGCTGAGGACGGAGGGCAAGAGCCCCGCCAGGAGACAGAAAAAACAGAAGATGCCGAATCGGCAGAAGAGTTGGCCAAACTCAAAGCAACTATAGAGAAGTGTGAGCAGTTTAACAGAGAGAAAAATATGACGGAAAAAGGTGAAAAGCCCGAGGAAAATCAAACTGAGAACAATTTAGCGAAGTGTAAAACGGATAAAGATGAGACAAAGTAAAAACAACGAAAACCTTAGCCAAATACCTTAGCGAAGACATAAACAGACACCACGTACACACACCGCAGACTGCTCGCCAACTGGGTGTGACTCTTTGATGTGCATTCTTAGCGGCGACAGAAACCGACCAAACAGTAACTCTCAAACTGTCACTTAAATAAATATCGTATTACTGTTTGGCCTCTGTTTTTTTGTTCTGCTTTAAAGTTTCTTTGAAATCGAAATTTGAATTGTTAATAAATTCATAGTAGAGTTTCGCATTCAATCAATTGATACGCCTTACAACGCCATAACGGAAACAAGCTCCGGGGTTGCTGCACAATTTCAGGGACAAGCCAAACGTAAAAAAAACGATATGAATGCCTCCCCACATGCGGTGTGTCCGTAGTGTGAGTTGATAAAGCGTTTATTTAGGTACATGCATATATGTATATATGTACGTTTGGGTCTAGGTATGAGCTTTCCGAGCTAGTCATTTCATTTCGCATGCATCGAGTTTTTAACGCTGAATTGATCTCTGTGAACCGATAGGGAGAGTCATCACGTGTTTTGTGGCTTGCTAATTAGTTGGAAATTCCCCAAAGCGAAGAGAGGCAAGGAGGGAGCTTGCCAGTGAAAATAAACAAGTAAAAGTGCTCTGTCGGGAGTGCTCGACTAGGACATACCCCCTACACAGAGCGAAGCTTTCAACACAAATGTGGAATTTCCCTTTAAATACATGCAATAAATGGGACATATTCTCTCTTGTGGTAATAAATGATACGTGCAACTCTTATATGAGAAATAATAGCCTAATTTAATTTAATTTAAATTTACATTTGGAACGACGCATAAATAATCTTACATTTTAGCGGATTATTCTTTAGTTGCCCAACTATTCAGTGCGAATATATGACTATATGTTGATATGAAAATTTAATATGGCAAATTATATGGTACATTGCCATAGCACGAGGATAAGAGGAAGTCGACTTAAGATAAGTGGAAAAATAATCGGGGTACTGGGCTTTAAGACCAATTATTCTAGTAATCAGACAGTTTATTAGGAACCATAAGAAGCTTCATAACATTTGAGTTTTTACGTTTTAGTTTTTACTAATAGACATTGAGTAAAACACCTTTCTATTTATTACTCAATGGACTTTGGGTATGCCGTAAGAAGCCGCATTTGTTAAT